CTAATTTTTATCCCTTAACTCCGAAGTTTGTAAAGCGAAAAATATGAAATTTCAACATTTTATAAAAGTATACGTGTATATTACAGGAAAATTAAAACAAAGTGTCTAACTAGCACTATTTTTGAGAAATTATAAAAAAAAATCTTCCAAAACAAACTTAATTGGGCGGCCCAGTTAAAAACTTTTATAATCACAATTATGGCCCTAAATAAGAAATTACGCATTGTAGTATCAATTATCAGGTAACAATAACTATCAGGTGATTATTTCGTATAAAAAAAGGTTGTCTGGAAGACATTGCTTAGCAATAAGACCGCCTTTTGTACTACACTATACGTATTGAAAATTGTTTAACAAATCATGTTATGTTGGTGCAATAAAGTGTTAAATAAATAAAAAATAAAATAAAAAAATAATTTCCATTATATTTGATATATAATGGAAATTAATGGGTGGCCGATTTGACTAAACCCAAGATCTACTATTTACTGACGAAACCCTGTGCGATCCACCAATTACATACTTCTTGAAATCACACAATGAAACAACACAGTTCATTTTTATAATACCAAATATACGCACAATTATGTATTGTATTGTTTTTATTTTATTAAGAGGGTAAACATAAAACTGAAATTTATTCTTAGTAACTACTTATTCATATTAATGTAAGCATTGCGTCTGAGCATCTTCCGCTAGATTAGTAAATATTTTTTTATGCAGCTTAGAATGACAAACAAGCTGACGGCCCACCTGATGGAAAGTGGTAATCGTCGACTATACACATGAACATAACAGAGGACACTGTTTCGCTCATGATACCCCGCATGCGTTGCCATTCCTGAGGACTCAGATATTATTCCTCTGTACCCTGTAATAGAGCCACGCAAACACAACTGCTTTAACACACATGGTACAGAGGTGCCCAAGCAAACGACTTTTGTACAAAGTCTCCCTCTGGTACTTTTTTTTTGCCTTGACACGATCAACTGGAGTAATAATCGCGATCGACAGGTTAATCACGACAGACGAGTTGGCCACCCCTGTTATATATCATATAATATTTATATATTTATACAGAACCCCCGACTTGTGAATTCAACTCGCACTTGACCGGTTTTATTTGATTTTTATTCGAACTCAATATGTAAGTATCTGAAATCACTCAATGGCATACGCGTGTTTCTTTTTTAATTTGCCACTTAGAGCTCCTCAAAATTCGAATGCTCTTCAAGATATTCAGTTCAGCTACCAACGTATTTATTTTTTATGCTATTTTTTTTTTTAATAAAAATACAATTAAGGATCTCTTTTCTAAAAGAAATCAAAACATTAAATAATTGAAGTATCCACCTAATGGCATTGTTGGTGATTATAAGAACTTTATTTTTAGTCGAAAATATTGGCTTTATTAAGTGTTATCTAAACATCGTGTTTGTTCAATAATGGTTTAAGTATTGATTCTTACTTGTGTATAGCTTTATTACACTTGCCATGTGGTCCCAACGTACTTAATAGTCGAGGGATGGGCAGCATCGTCTCTATTAAAACATCCGAAAGCCTAGCTACGGTTGCCAACCCGCCTACCTGGGGGAAAGGGATTGTTGGTAAAGGGGTCTAATGAATCTATTGCTAGCAATACACCTTATCAGGTCGACCTCCACGTGATTCCCCCTGAAAACCATCGTGATTAATCCTTGTTGAATTCGTCACGATGGGGTAACTGACCTACTTCATCCTCGCCTATCTCACTTGTGCCCCGCCGGTGTATACCAATAGCGCGGGCGGTGTTACCATTCCATTACCACCTATTTCATCACCAATCCCGAATTGATCACGAAACTAGACGAACTTTCTCGAATCTAATTACACGTAAGTTAAACCGGTAGTTATTACATTAAAATATAATGTGTGCTTACGATAATTTTAAAAATAAAAAAAAAAGATAATGTAAACAATCTTTTAAATTTAAACAATCAAACACGAAAATCATTATAAATTCGAAATAAACGAAGTCAGATTTGCCTGACCTCCTTCGAACCGAATTGATGAATAAATAAATATCAACCAATTTGTGCTTGAAAGCGGTACCGTTAATTGGACTCAGCGTTTGTTTTATAATTGTCCAATTCTAGTCCAATCCTAGAATAGAGACAATGTTTTTTTGATTAAAAAAAATCAAACCATTCGGATCGATTGTGAGACGCCATTTGAAACTTATTTATGTACAAAATTTCAATTTCAATTTAATATCACAGAGAAGTTCACCAGAGGGAGACTTTGTATAAAAGTCGATTGCTTGGCTACCTCTGTCCCGTTCGTATTTCTACCGTGAGGCAGTTGTGTTTGCATGGCTGTGTTTCGGTTTAAAGGGATATGGAGTGAATTTACAGGGTACAGAGGAATAACATCCGAGTCCTCAGGAATGGCAACGCATGAGGGGTATCATGGGCGAAACAGTATACTCTGTTATGTCCATGGTACTGCTCATGTCTATAGGCGACGGTTACCACTTTCCATCAGGTGGGCCGTCAGCTTGTTTGCCATTCTAAATTGTATAAAAAAAAAATAATAAGAACAAGAATTACTCACAACTATTTGTTATTAAAATAACAACTCAATAATATGAGTTCAAATGAATACAAATTCCTGGAAAGTTAACGTGCCAGTGTTGCGACATTAACAACAATTACGGTAACACTCGGTTATGTTATATTGGCTGAATGCAATTTACGACTTCATTACTCGTTGTTAGTGCTTTAAAACTTGATGCTATTGAATAAACTAATTGACTTCATACATTTATTACGAACTGTTTACTTTTGTAAAAGTTCTTCAATCCTCACTAATGTTATAACTGTATATCAGTATGAAGAAAACGAGTGTTTCTTTTTTTTTTTTAAGTAAGTTTGTTGATTACCTCTTAGCGTAGTACCTGCTTAAGGAATTACTATAAAATTTGTTTTTTTTTTATACAACTTAGAATGGCAAAAAAGCTGACGGCCCACCTGGTGGAAAGTGGTAACCGTCGCCTATAGATATAAACAGTACAATGGACATTACAGAGCATACTGTTTCGCCCATGATACCCCCATGTGTTGCCATTTCTGAGGACTCGGGTGTTATTCCTCGGTACCCAGTAAATTCACGCCATAGCAGGGCCAGGTCAAGAATATTGAGATGATTGCTGGGTTTTCTGGATAGTATGTAGGATGAAGAGGGGAGAGTATGTTAAAACTCATGGAGTATGATAGGCTCTCCAAGGACCGACCGTTTGGATTGGTATTAGCACACTTGGTGGGACAAGATGACCTATAAAAAGCTGCAGGAATCTTATAACAATACTATGACATTCGAATAAATGCCGGCTGTAAATAAATATTCCTCTGTTATGGGGCAGCAGCTGTAATAGTATTGGTAGAAGGGCAAAGAAGACACTTCTAGAAGAGCTTCTAGTCAGCAATCAAAAGGCCACATATTGTTCTCTGAACTGCGGTGCATAAAGCATGATATGAAACTACTGCACTATAATCCCATAAATAACAACTAATGGAATGAGAAGAAGGAAAATGAGATGGACAAGGACAGTCTTTACCTACACACTTTTTATCCTGGACAGTGAAAATGAATCGATCATACGGGCGAAGTCGCGTATAATATAAAAATAACTGTTATTTAAAAGGTATTTAAAAAAATATATATCAATTAATTTATCGATCAATCAATTTAGTGATATTTTCAAGAGACTTCAAATAGAAGGAGGTGCTCAATTTGATTGTACAATTTTATGTTTATTACCTCATACTACGTTAATTATTATACCGGTTTGGAAAATTCATTTTTTATCTAAAAGAATAATACTTAGATTGATTTCGTGGAAATTTAATTAAAATCAATTCATTGGTTTAGTAATTAAATCAAAATAACTTATTTCGTCATAATTGAGGTTTATTTTTTTTTATTGGCACTCAACTTTAATTTATTGCAATAAACAAATTGAAATGTATTTCTATTTATAATAAATATTCGATAATCTTGTTGTATATTATCAAGGTAATAACAAACCGAACACTTCCATCGAAAAAAACCCGAAACTCATTTGGTGTAATGTTGAAAAGCAATTGCTTTCTTCAATTTCCCTTTCAAGCTTTGCTGTCGGTGTATTTACTGTCAGGGCTTTCAGCGGCTAAATATCATTTGCTACCGATTTCAAGTGCTTTTATTTCAAACTGTTATTTATTCTCTATTAGGGCTCCATTTAGGCAAATACCCAAATTTCTTTTAATGCTAAATCTAGAAATGGTCTTCGGGTATCATGATTGGATTTTTTTTAAATGGGTGATAATGGAATGGTAACCCTAGCCGCGCTATCGGTATACACCGGCGAGGCACTAGTGAAGAATGATACGAGTAGGTGAGGATAAAGCAGGTCAATTAGCCCATCATGACGAATTCAACAATTGTTCACGATGGCTTCCAGGGGGAACCACGTGGAGGTCGATCTAATAGGGCACATTGCTAGCAACGGGGCTATCTAACTCTATTGCCATCAGTTCCTTCCCCCCCCCCCCATGATTGGAATTAGATTGACATTGATCAACTATATAATTATAGAATTGACTTATTGTTCAACTGTCACTCTCTCTTTAGTCGTATACTCTTGACAGAGTGGTCGTGGTTTACATGATTATAGTGGATTGTAAAGCTCTTATACACTGCTGAATAGCCTCCCCTTAGGAGGGTTTTGCCAGTAATTGCCATGCTTGGCATGCGATTTGGCAACCGCAGTTAGGCTTTGGAGGTGTTTTAAGAGGGACGTAACTGCCCATTTATCGCCCTCACTTAATCGCCTCTTTCAACACCCACGGGAAAGGAAGTGGTGGCCTATTCTATACTGGGACCACCCAATGGTATATATACTTATAGACATCGTTAAAATGAAAATAAGTGTTAAAAATAACCTTATCGTTGTTATCTTATATCTCATTCAAACTACTTACCTCAGTCCCTTGGACCTTCAGTTTCATGTGGTCTTCCCTTGTGGTCTTGCCGTCTTTTCTCTTCTTCCAGCAATATCCATCTCGCCGGTACCTGACCTTCTTGCGACTGTACAGCAGCATGGAACCACTTTTTGGCCTAGAACAATAAAATAATAATATTAAAAATGCGAATGTTTGTAATACAGGACGTTTGTAATTCTTTCACGCAAAACTATTCAACGGATTTTAAAGAAATATGGTTATATATTAACTTAGTAGATAGGACACTTTACGTATTACTTTATTTTTTATACAACTTAGAATGGCAAACAAGCTGACGGCCCACCTGATGGAAAGTGGTAACCATTGCCTATAGACATGAGCAGTACCATGGACATAACAGAGTATACTGTTTCGCCCATGATACCCCCCATGCGTTGCCATTCCTGAGGACCCAGGTGTTATTCCTCTGTACCCTGCAAATTATATCATATACTAAGACAATCATGATAATCATTTTCATTATACACTTTACAAGTAATGGGACTTTTATAATAATTTCATTACAATTATTTTGTTTAATTCCACTACCATAAGTATGTGTGTGACTGCCAACACTGGAAGACTGAACACCGCTAATTACTACTAGGAGTTCCACAACCTTCCATATTAGCTATCAATCTCCAAGACAAATTGTTGAATTTATTGGGTACAGAGGAATAACACCTGAGTCCTCAGAAATGGCAACGCATGGGGAGTATCATGGGCGAAACAGTATACTCTGTTATGTCCATGGTACTGCTCATGTCTACAGGCGACGGTTACCACTTTCCATCAGGTGAGCCGTCAGCTTGTTTGCCATTCTAAGTTGTATAAAAAAATAAATATAGTGGTAATCGCTGATGGTACATACTTCAAACTTATATGTATTATAAGTTAGAAGAAAGCTATGGACCTATATAAAGATACAAGCGACATCAAGTATTTTAATAGTGAATTAGATCAGCGAATTGCATGAGTATTCAAAAACGCCCTACACGGGACTTGATAAAATTGATTATAAATAGTTATAGCGGGGGAGAAAGGGATTGTTAGTAATGGAGACTTAAAATCCCATTACTAGATATATACCCAACCAGGTCGACCTCCTCGTGGTTCTCCCTGGAAACTATCATGGTTAATTCCTGATAAATTCATCATGATGGGCTAACTGGCCTGGTTTTCATTCTCATCGATCACCCTTCACTGGTGCTCCGCCAGCGTATCCCGTTAGAGCAGGCAGGGTTACCATTTCATTTTTATCCACCAAAAAAAAAAATTGTTATAGCTATATTTACAATTTGAAATATTCACAATGACAAATGTCAAAATTTAATAAGATAATTTTACGACCACAAGAGATGCGCTGAATCGGCTAAAATAATTTGAATTATGATAGATACGGCGTGGAAGTCTGGATTTATTGCAAAGTTGTAAAACCAGCACCGGGGCTGACCGGGTTTATGGCCGAATTATCGTGGCCGCTTGTAAATAAAGCTGCGACCACAATAACACATCTTTACCATTTTTACTAATATTATAAATATATAAAAGTGAATTTCTTTGTTACCTCTTAATAGTTTAAAGACTTAACTAATCGATATGAAATTTCGTATACCACATGTGATGGAGGTAAGAATACGGATCATTTTTAATTCTTGTTAATTAATATAATAATATAATGTTTATTTATAAAATCAATATAATATATAAAAATTTGCATGCCTAATTATGACGAAATATGTGGACTTATTACTATAGTAATAATAATATTTTAGTTTATTTCAAAATAATTGTTACAAACATCTTTAAACATAGGTGAAACCCTGTTCCCTAAATAGGTATATTCGTATCCTGTACTTCTGAATAAGCAGTGCTCTTCCCTGTATGACATGATATATATATATATATATATATATATATATATATATATATATATATATATATATATATATATATATATATATATATATATATATATATATATATATATAATAATAAGGTTCTAATACAATAATACAATTTTAATATCTGTATACTTATCATGTTTCTTGCAAATAAATATTCATTCATGCATATTATATACATACACTGCATATAACAATCAATAATCATTCAACGTGTTAGCAAATCCTTTATTTGCTGACACGTTGATTGTTATATTAATATAAAAAAAAATCTGTTTAATAGTTTTTTTTAATCAAAATAACAATTGTAATCGGGTTTTTTTTTGGAAAATATTTTTTTTTCATTATAAAAACATTTTTTTAATAGAATTTTGTTGATAGTGTTTATAAGTTACATTTATAACTAGTTTTTAGCTGTAAGTTCACAACTCATAACTAGTACATAACGATTAACTAGGTTAAAAAGTAGCCTATCACAAATCATCGTCAAAATTATTATCAAACACGATAAGTAGAAGAGATATTAAAAAGCCCAAAAATATATTTAGAGTACTATTTCAATTTCGTTTCAAATTATTCAATCGTTCAAAATTCCTTTAAATATATTTTAAAAACTATCATATTTCCACAACTGAACTCCCTTTATGAACAGATTTCCTACTCCCTGCCGAGGTTTTCCAAGAGACTACATGCATGGGGTTCTTCAAAAGGGGGGTAACGAAGTTTCTTCAGGGTCGTCAACGCGCGCATAATACCTCTGGTATTGCAGGTGTTCATAGGCTACGGTGACCACTTACTATCAGGTGAACCGTATGATTTTTGTTTGCCACTTCAATGGTATAAAAAAAAAAGACTTATTTGTCAAAAATCATTTAAAAAAACAACTAAAAAAACAATTTAAATACCAAACGTAACACAACTGGACCATATTATACCAGCACAATAAACTTTCTTCTATAAGACCAAACTCTACAAATTACAAATAGTTATAGGAAGCTTTAAAAATGTTACAATAATTTTCGTCATGTACACTAACACTAAAATGAACAATGGCCGCCGGTATTACAATGTTATATTATTACATTGTAACACTCAGTGTGAACGTGCCTCAATTCCGATTTACTACATGGATTTCCAGTATCACTGAATATGTAAAAAGCGTATTAGAAAGTCATGCCGTGACCAGGCTTGGTCGGGATCAAATCAAATCTAAAACAGCAGAAATAATAAAATAATATGACTTTTATTTTACGTTGTTCGCCCCCGATTATTTTTAACCATTTTCTAGAAGGAGATTATTTTCTGTTGTACCTATATGCATGCTTACTGGTATGTAGTCCTAACAAAGAATTGTCGGGGGAAAGGGATTGTTAGTAATGGAGACTGAGAATCCCATTGCTAGCAATATACCCAACCAGATCGACCTCCTCGCGGTTCCCGCTGGAAACTATCATGGTCAATTCCTGATGAATTCATCATGATGGGCTAACTGGCCTGTTTTCATTTTCATCTATCACCCTTCACTGGTGCTCCGCCAGCGTATCCCGTTAGCGCAGGCGGGGTTACCAAACCATTTTCACCCATAAAAAAAACAACATAGAATGGTCTACCCTTTCTTTTACCGCATATATTCTAAGACACAAGAAATTTAATGCCCGAAAAATGGACAGCAGTGTTCCTCTTAAAACATTAGCAAAGCCTGACTACGGTTGCCAACTCGCCTGCCTAGCGCGGCAACTACTAGAAAAACCCTTCTTATGAGAGAAGCTCAACAGCGGATACACAACAGCAGGTAATAATTATGGTGCATATTTGCAGTATTTTTTCAATACAACCACGTCAATCGTTTGATCCTCAATCTAAAATAACCTTGTTATAAGGACTCAGATAAGGAAGATTTTTGTGCACAAACCCAGAACATCAATTTTTATAATATGTACGTCAGTCTATTTATCATTGGAATATTTATTTCAGTTACTTGAACAGAAAACATTGATGCAGTAATCATATTTTTCCAATAAAAGGAATCGTAGTTTAATTTTAATAGAATTACAACACTCCTTATTTCCTACCAGAATTATGTGTGTTATATATGTATGTTAATGTTGTAAATATATGTGTGTGTGTATATTTATGTATGTATTTATGTATTGATATGATTGTGCTTCTTTACATATATTAAGATCTAATTTTTTTACGCGCCACCTACTTTTTTATTCTGTAATTCCTTCTATCACTATCCAAAGGTTGTCTGGAAGAGATTACTTAGCAGCACGATCGCCTTTTGTACTACATTTTTGTACTATGCTTATCGAAAATTCTTCAACAAGTTGGTGCAATAAAGTTTCAAATAAATAAATAAAAAATAAACAATGTTCAGACGAGGCGTAAAGTTAATACTGATATCCTTCCTTCTAGTAGATTCTCGATTCACGACGTGTCACCCTTTAGTATTTTTAATCAACTTGAGATAGCAAATAAGCTTGCGGGCCACCTAATCGAAAGTCCATCCAACGCCTTTAGACGTAAATATCACACAATATAATATGATGCCCATCCCTATCAGGTCGACTTCCACGCAGTTCCCCCTGGAAACTATCGTGACTGATTTAAAAATCATTGAATTCGTCACAATGGGCTAACTGACCTGCCTTTTCATCCTCACCTATGACCTCACACTGGTACCCCGCCAGTATAAACCGATAGCGCAGGCGGGATTACCATGCCATTGTCACCCATAAAAAAAAATATAATGCCCACAGTGCTTCTAATTAATTGCATTATAATAATTCTATCATTTCCTTTCAACATCGCTGCATTCAGGTGAAAACAGATTTCATTGCATTTTTATTTATTTATGCAATAACCCGACGATCCGGTAACGGCCCATATATTGTGCTACGTCATGACCACACGTTATATTGCTCGGCAAAAGGACAAAAACTCGATTCATGGGGTTTGGTCGACTAATAAATCGGACATTCGATACATAAATCTGCACGATCTGTGTTAGCCGAGATTTTTTTTTTTTGTTTAAAATCGCGAGCTATCAATCAACGCGACTTACAATTGTTGTGTCTGATAGCTGCGGAGGTTTTATTTTAAATTTAGAGGTTTAAATATACATAAATGAGTAATTATCATTTCATTATCATCATCATTACATCCGTTAAATGCTGAACATAGCCCCCTCCCCCTTTACCCTT